ACCTGGATATTCACAGTGACTGCACAGATTAATGGCTCCATAATTATTACATCATTCTTGACTTCATCCCTTGTAGTTAAGCATACTTCATGAACAATGGAACAGAGGGTAATCAAAGGAAATCAATTTTCAAGGTCGTAAGTTCTTGACACACAGACCACCTGCATGAGGTGCTCAAATTGTCTTTGCATCCTGAACTCAAGGCCAGGATGAGGCAATGGAAGCGTTTGGAGTGAGAGCTGGGTGCTGGACTTTGGGGAAATGGAAGGACATAATAAGAGAAAGGGAGGGAGAGGAGCTATGGAAAACCTTGCTCTGCCTGCAGTAGCCTCCCTTTCCCCTGAGTCTAGCAGGACAAGGTACCAAGAATGAAGGCTTTCTATCAGCCAGAGAGCGAGTCCCTGTCTTCCCTGGGAAGAGTGGCAAAGAACAATGCCTGTGAAGGCACCTTTATGCTTGTATTCTCTTTTTCATTATTTTCTTGCAGAACTTAACACTATTACTAAAACTTAAGTCACTACAGTCATCTCCTTCCTATTCACTGGCTGTCCCACAGAGAGGTCCTCACAGATCTACCTTTACCTTCCTGCCAGGGAGAAAAGGTACAACATCCACTGAATCACAAAAACTCTAGATATTAGGTTGCTTGCAAGTACTTTCTGATAAGAAACTTCAACAGAGCCATTCTCTCTCATACTTAACATAATTAACCACAGATGAATGCCTTTGAGAGCTCATCAACAAAGACAGAGAAGGAACTTGTTATAACCTTTCAGCTCCATAGTTCCACTGTCCCAAATCAAACATGGGATGTTTATTCTTCAAACCAAAGGTCAGATTACAATTTCATGGTAAGATGAATAAATACCTGAAGTAACACTATTAAGTCAATGGACAAAATTATAAATGGACAAAAAATCTGGTTCATTGTATTCCAAATTGCTAAAAATGTGGTTAACATCGTAACACGGTAGCTGAAAGATTTGAAGAAAACTACTTGCATGCATTTTTCCGAGCAAAAAGAGCAGAAGGTTAGATTCAAATCCTACTATCAACATAGCAAGGGTCAACATTAATATTTTCTTCTCATGTAATGAATTGTCAGAGCTCAGCTACACTGCTGTCCTATTATCTCCTGGGAGGAAGGATAAATTGGTTAATATAGTTCTTTCCAAAAAAAGCGTTCAAAAGCAGAAACATCTGGTATGTTCATTAGTCACTATTTGGCCTGAGTTCAGTAGTAAGGCAAACTACAAACCCCATTCCCTTTCTCTTACCTAGAGGTCACAGTAAATGGGAGCCTAGGTTTACGGAAATCATCACTAACTGGAAGGAAGATGGCTGTGAAGCTTACAGATACACTTTGTTTCCTGTTCTCAGCAGCAAAAAAATGCATTCACACACACAATCATCTAATGGCCATAGGAAGTCATATGATTTACAGGAGACACAGAGATTCAGACAGTCCAAATATTTTTAAATGTGGCATTAAAGAAACCCGGAATATATATATATATTTTAAAGTATGCTAAGAGTTAGCTCAAAAATTTAAGCCTACAGCCACATGAAAACTGGAAAGAGTCACAGAAATTAAGCAGCATGAATTAGTCTGAAACAAAGCTGGGAACTGAATCCAGATACCAGAAGTTTGGGTTCAACTTTTCTGGTCAGTTGCCTGTGCAATATTGGAACCACACCCTTGTTTTTATATTTAAGAATATGTATGGTTCAACCATAATTCAAGCCTGTCAGAGTTGGAAAATAAACATCAGAGCCTTATCAGTCTTTCTCCCAGGCTGGACTATACTAAACAGCAGCCTAAACAAGACAAAATACTGGTTTTTAACTCATCATTCAAGAGAGACAAGTAAAAATAACGTGCATGAGGCCCGTTGTCCAAAGAGAGCTGTGTGATGAGATTATTAATGGGGATAGTTTAATCATATCAAAACCCACAATAGGAGTTTGCAGTTGTGATGTTCAGTATTCTTATAACAGAAGTCTAGACATCCCCTACCAAAGTCACTAAAAGTACGGGCCACCTATCAGCATGCACATAATGTGCTTTCACACCTGATTTAAGATAAAACTTCAGGTTAAACATAGGACACCCAACAATGCCATAATTACATAGCTCTTAGGTCATCACCTCCCCTCCAACCCCTTCCCCTTAGGCAGCTGAAGAGTTTTACACGGAAACTGCCCCAAAGCTGTCTTGACACGACAGAAAGACAGGTAAATGCCACCCCATGCAAAATATGCTGCGAGCACTACATCTGAAATATTGGTACCACAATTAGGGTGACCACAAAAAATAGTAGGTCTTTGAACAAGCATTGTCTGATCTTAATATCAACTGAGGCAGAAAAGGTCAAAAAAGAAGATTTTTTTAGAATTCATAATCATGGCAAAGGCAAGCTAAAGTTTTACAGGCTTTCTTAATTATATAATGCTTGGGCTCAAAACCATTACTACTGTTTCAACTCCAGTCATATACCACTTGTAAGTTTGTTGAAAAGAAATTAAATCTAAAATAAAATTTTAGACAATGGACTTGCATTGAAACCTGTTTGTTTCAACAACTACTCACCACCTTGTGATCCACTACACACACCTCTGCTATTCAAGCAAGCAGAGTTCAAAAACAGAAGTGGAGGGAGCAGACTGGAATGAGGGGTTGCATAGGCAATTACAAACAGAAGGCACTAGCCATGAACCTGGGAGATCTCCTACCCTGTCCCATGCTTCCAGACCAAGCAAGGCCTTTCACCACTCAGACTTTTATCTTCCTTCCCCCTTCACACACCTGTCTGGCTTCCTTTTTATTCTTACAGATGGCCATAAGAGACAAGTACTTCATCCTCCAGTGTCTGCTTCTAACTTCTTAGCATTTGGAGGTTTGGAATGTGAATGTGGAAAGAGTGGGATCTTTGTGTCAGTTTTTTTTCTTTTTTCCTTCTTCACAGGTTGTTCCTGGCTTGCTTATTTTCTCCACTTTCTCAGTCTAAACCACAGTGCAGTCTAAACCTCAGTCTAAATCTGCACGAGCAGTAGAGGGATGGCACTGGGAAACTAGGAAACAGTTTATTGACGAGCTCTAGTACTCCTGCATATAATCCTAAGTTATGTTCATGGTGACACCAAAAGTTTTAAAGACACAACTCTCATTAAACATAGATGAACTGAACGTTTCAGGGTTTACAACTCAACATAATTTGGATCAAGCACCATAAGGCTACAGGATTCTGGCAAAAATTAAAATTAGCCTGACTCAAACCAGGGACTCTGTATTCCACAGCTAGAGAAACAAACAATAGAACATCAGTAAAAATTATAATAAGGCTACAAAATAATTTTCTCAGTTTTCATAGAAATAGTTAATATGTTGCAATGACAAAGGTTAAAAAAAGTTAAATAACAACAGCACATGCTACAGACACACCAAGAAGTAATGCAATTAAACTTCTGTGATTCTTTTGTACAGGTGTTGTGGAAGTTTTCTTTATGGTTGGGCAGCTTCAACACACACATTTAGGAGCACTGCTTCAGACTGTGAGAAACTCATTTGTTCCTCTTAAAGGTCCAAAATTATATTTCATCATGTTATAAGACTGCCACATATTTAAGGGGGGGGGTAATTTAATCTCATTACTTTTTCATATCTAGCTTTGTCTTGGTTTCTAGCATCCCCAGCAATTTCAAAACTAGATAACAGCTATATTTTTTCAGGCAGTAATCTTACTGAAATGGTTAAATATTTCTCTAGACTGAAAAATGGAAGGACATCTTATGGTATTCATTATCTCCTTCTTCAAAATAAGCTTGTGCTATATGCCTATAGCATCAATGTAAACCCAAAAGGGAGAAACCATGTCTGGAAAATGCCCTGAGCCTACAATTCTTAGTAGTTCACTGAGAAAACAGATGTTTTGAAAATGTCATTCAGCATCTAGAATTTGGAAGTTAATTCTAACTCAATCAAACTTCACAGCAAGGTTAACATCCCAAGACATACACTATTTTAGTCAGAGACTACAAACTCTGATATGGCAACTAAACACATTTTATTAACTGAGGTGGAGACTCTAACAGGGTTGTAGTGGTTTAGATTTGCCAATTTGAGTTTCTCAGCCAGTGTACCAAATAATGTGGTGGGTTTAGCACTGGCTAAAATCACCAGTGCACTTACTCATTTCTTGCTGTGAGATATGGATTAGGAGAAGGGCAAAAAAGGCTCAAAACTTAAAAGGTATAAAGAAACCTTCAGAACCTTTTTCCTCCCCCTGCCTGTCCTCTTTCCCAAAGTAGAGACAAAACATGGAATTTTTAAATCAGTTCCCAACTTTACAATAGTCTTTCATCAGTTCTTGTAGGGAGAGGAGCTTTCTCTTAAAGCTCCTCTTGCCATGCCATGGAGACTTCTCCACAAGAAACAGCTTTTAATTTCCATGAATAGCAGCTGCCTGGGGAGAAATCAGCAATCATGAAACCCTCCCATTTCCACAGCCCTCCTACAGCTGTGTTTATGGGCCATGTCAAATTATGGAGTATTATTTTAAGGATGAGCTGTTTAAAAACAAAGGTTCTCTTCATCTGTCTTCACGATCATCTTTATCTCTGGGAACAGGTCTTCTCTCCCTGGGGGCAAAGGGTCTTTATCACGCTTTCCCTGTTCAAGCTTCTCATGGGATCTTCAGCATCTATTTTGCTTCACCGTGGATAACTCTGCTCAGATCTACAGTTTGAACACTTCATCCCCCCAATTCTCTCTCATGAATTAAAGAAGATATTTCAGTGTATTACTGTCCATCTCCATGGCCCTATCAAGAAAACTTTCAGCCCCATTAGGACATCTCCTCATTCTCCTTCCATCTGAGGCTTGACTCCTTTACTGACCTTGGTGTCTTCATGTTGTCTTTCTATGTCATCACTTTTTTTCTCTCCCTTGAGAGGGGATTGAGGTTTGCAGGTCTCATCTGTGTAAAGGGTTATTATCTCACCTGGGGCCTGGAGATGGTCCTGACATCTCTGCCAGGGGCAGAGGCTGGAGCTGTTTATGCTGGATGATTTTTTGGTGGCTGCACTGGGATCTCAGCAGCCAGGCCAGCACTCAGAGGCAGCCCGCCACGGGCCAATGGCTCCCCCTCCCCCTGCCCGGCAGTTTCTGCTGAAACTCAGCAGCAGCAGAATTTCAGCTGAGCCGAGGCCAGCCTGCCAGTGCTGCTGGAAAGGGCTTGGTGGGTTCCCCGGGAAGGGCTCGACTCCCCTGGGAAGCTACCCCGCCAGAACGGGACCTGGAGGGTTTCCTGGGAAGGCCCAGTGCCTCAGCAGAGCCTGGCCCGGCCCCACCAGGCCCCATGGGCCGAGCAGGGGCCGGCCCCCCAGTTACCTCTTTAAAGGCAGAAGCAAGAGAGAGCTTTCCTGGTCTTGTCTGTTTTTAAAATGTGGAATTCACAGAGGCAGACCCAGCTTTTAAATGGTTTAATAGATTGTCAGTTCTCAGAGATTCTCAGAGAACCAGCCAGCTACTGGTTTTTTCCAGGCACAGAAGAATCTCTCAGCAACTTCTCTTCGAAAAATAATTTCTGTGAGCGGTTTTTTCCTTCTTACTAAATATCAATTAATGCAAAACCAGCACAAGGGTACCTCCTGACTTTCACATCTATAGCAAATAGTGTTACCTTTTTATATACAGATATTTGCTCTAGCAAAATAGTTTATTGATTTATTATGGATCACACTTTCAACAAAATCCCTGAACAAGTCTTCATATGCTTCACCTAATTCCCATGTACAGGAGAAAGTCTAAGTTCCATTTTATCTCACATGCTCCTACAAAGAGTATTCAACATGCTTCCCCATAGGCCCTTTTGCTAGATTTTTTTATTGTTTTAATACCTATAAAAATTGACCCTACAACAGAACAGGTTGAACATGTTGAATTGAACCATTAAAAGAAGGCTTGCTGGAGACACTTTACAAAACCTCTTGGACATTTCAAAAAAACTAGTTGCATCATAAGAGATGTTTTTCCACCCTGTGATACAATTCAAATCCTGGTCCTCTTTAGGCTACTATTCTCCAAAGGGAAAAATCCAGTATTCTGTAGTAAAACTGGGAAGATTTTATCTTTTGCTTTAGCAGGCACAGTCTGTACACAGGGTGAATATACTCAACTCCTGAATGACAATCTACTTCCAATTTACAGATTAAAACCAGCACTAGGAAGAATACTTGGGGACAAGTCCAACATGAGAGCAGACAAGGGATAGATTTGCAAAAGGTCATAAAAAGTCCCATTTCAGTTTTAGTTCTTCTATTTCACAGCACTGTTAGTTGCTAGTTACAAGCGCATGTATAAGACTTAAGTATCAGTCCTACAAATATCAGTCCTACAAAATTCTTTCCTTCATGACTCAGCAGAGGCACCAGAATTTAGCACAGCCTAGTTCAATGCTCATACTAAAATTTGATTTATTATTAAAATCTAATTCTCTCATCCACACCAAGCATAGGCAAGATCTTAAACATTTCTCTTTGCAGTAATTTTGTTCTTGTATTCCAAGACACACTTATGTCCTCTTCCTTTCCCAACCTTATACTAGATTAAGGAAATAAAGCTATTTCAGTGATTTCATTTACAGGTCAGGTTCAATCTTGTATTGCCTTGAAATCACTCAAATCATTACACTTGTAATGAAATACATTCATAAACCCTCAAAACAGCTACCAAGATTCTTCTTAAAGATAAACACAGCTTAAAATACAAAGTACTTGAAATTCAATCTAGCAAGGAGCTTGTATATCATATTTTAATGCTTTGCAAAATGAAGGAAGGCATTTGAAATGCCAAGAAAGAACTCTGAAATAACTTAATTTATATGAAGTTGCCTTTTTAAGACACTGTAGTACTTTTTGTCACCTCTATACAAAATAGCATCCTTACTTTAAATACCACCAGTTTTATAGTGTCAGCCAGGATGGCTGTGCCAAGTTGGGTCCCTTCTTGCTTACCAGGATGACTGAAATGCCACCTAAGTGCTGCAGGACATGGACTTCATGGATTACAAAGGCAACTGCCTCTTCTGATACCCGATAGACCACATACATCTGAGAAAGGAAATACCTTTAAAAAGCTCCATGGTGTTAGAAAGTGCAGCACCAGACAAACGAAGCTATTTCACTCAAGTTTGTTTTGGCAGGTTTTCAACTCTCTAGTCTATCCTTGCCTTGTATTCACACACAAGACTTGGAACAATTCCATTTATCAAGTCTACCTAGATGGAGCATTAAGTTGGCCTCTAAAATAAGAGAGGGACAAAAGAGAAAAGTAACAGATTTCAATACTGGTAACAATTTTCTCACTATAGTTTTATGCATGCAGGACAAAAAAATGTAAGGTAGACGGGAAAAACAATCACATGAAATCTGAAGATACAGAAGACTACTTTTCAAGTCATGCTACTTGGCATAAGGCAAAGTTAACCAAATACGAAACCTACTCCTGTGAAAAAAGTCATTATAATATCTCAGAATAATTTTTGATTAAGCTAGAAAAGAGATATATACTTACTTCCGTAGTCTAAAGACAGTTGGTAGTGCTTCATGTAAGACTGACAAGCTTCCAGTTATGCACATTGTATTTTTATATATTAATGGAATGGCTATAATTACACACATATCATATATCCAGCATACATCTGCTGATGGAAATATAAAATTACTCCGTGTTTCAAATAAAAGCTACACTTCCCTTTACACTGTCTTTCAAGGGAAGCTACATTTTTGCAATACCAATACTCACATTGGATACCATTAGATACTACGAGGAAAGAGTTACTAAATATGTACACTTGGGCATCTATTCACATAAGATAAGTTTCCCAATTGCTGAACCTCTACAGCAACTTAAAGAAAAATGAAAAAATTTTGGCTAGCCACTATCATGCATTGAACTTGAAAAATGAAAGCAACATCCTTACTCTGTTTTGGAATTTAACTTGGACAAAATTCAGCTTCCATTTTATTCTCAGGCATTTCAGTAAATCATAACCAAGTTATGATCAGTTTTAATTAAGTTAATGGATTATGAAAAATAACTACCTAAAACCACACAAACCCTTTTTACTAGGGCCTGCATTTGGCTTCTAAAATCTGCTTTAGTTTGGCAGACACACCTACCAAATGGCAAAAGCAAGAATAAAAAAACAATGAGAAAACATTGCCACTGGAATGACATCCAATGTCTTAAAAACTGTCTCCACTAATAAATATATCTTGACTATAAATATAACATGACTTCAATTAATTGTGTAATTTATAAACCTTTAAGGAAGAAATTGTATTCTTAAGATCAAGAAATTCCCAAAGCAACTCAGTTATGCCATTCTTCCTGCTGTATTTCTGTGTGTTACATAGCTATCAAATAGAGCACATGCTCAGTCTTGTGCTCCAAGCTTTTGAAAACTAATATAATTTAAGTCAGAGCCTTAACTTGATTCAGAGTATTAAATTGATGGATACTTGTTTGTTCAAATTATGAGTAAGTTTTTTACATATCAGAACAAACCGAAGTATAGATGAGTCATTAATAACGCAATTTAACATACACCATTTAAACAAACAAAAACAACCCTCACCATTTTACATCTTGTTACAGTTTTCCTTCATGGCAGGCAGCCATCCTACATCATTCCTGGGTGAGGAAATGGACTGAAATGATAGATGACAGGAGTGGTTTCTAAGACTTACAAGTTCCTTGATTCTCCCCAAAACAGTGCCTTCTTTCAGTGGAGATGTCATTACATCAGCAGTTTCTATCTGGAGGTTCAGAACTTTTACTATCAATATAAAAAAAGTCAAAACAAAATGCAAAAAAAACCCCAAAAAACAACCAAAACAAAACCGATTATAAGCAAGGTTAAGTTCATGATTGGACTCTCTACTTCATGGAGAAGTTTCAAGATCTGTAGACCAATGAGTTGACATTCACAGTACATTACTTCAGCTCTGTTGGCAAGGAGTCAGTCCTTGTACAGTCATCGAGAAGAACAGACAATAATTATTACCCTTTCCCTTCTAGGTCCACACTATGTGCTTGATTTATGACTGACAAGTTTCTCCAGTAACATAAATCAACATATTTAGCAGGGAAGCCATGGAAAATTGTTAATTTCTACTGATGTAGAAATTAAACATAGGATTTGTACAAAGATTAGGCTTACGAAAGATGGGACAGATAATTTGCAGCAAAACAGCACACCAATAACTTCCCATCACAGGAGGTCTTCTGTAGAATCTTTACTATCTCCAGAAGTCTCATCTTGGACAACAGGGAGTAGTGGCAAGGTCTCGGTAACACATAGTATAAGAAGACTGCAAGAAGATGCTTTTCCCTATGTTAGCAGGATAAACAGAGCACATTTTAACACCTGAACTTGTCTACTTCTGATGTAGTCAAAGTTTTTCACCCAGAACAAGTCAATATTAAGCCATTCAGTTACAGCTTTATTTCTCAAAACAATTTTAATTATCCAAGACAAAAATTTAACTGCTCCTAAACATTTATTGAGCTTCGGAGCAAAGCAAAAGGTAGACCAAGATGATCACTGATGGCATTCTATATTAGATTTATGATGCTGAAGCCCTTTTATGCTTATAGAAAAAACAGACAAGGTTTGTATTTCCTTCTTCCCATGGACAATATTTGGTGAAGAATAGTTATGATTGTTACTCCAGCAATAAAGCCTATTTTTCTACTTGTAGAAGTAGATTAATTAATTTATGACTGCCATTGCTCACTAAGGAATTTCTTTCTGAATAACTGTACAATATGGGATATTATTTAATTTCAGAGGAGACTATCAAAATGCAAAGCCTTTTTCCAGGAGAAAAAAAAAAGAAAAAGAAACAGACAAAAAACAAGCAAACAAACCCACCCCCAAAACAAAACAAAAAAACAGAACAAACAAAAAAAACCCAACAAAAACAAACAAACCCCCC